TTTTTCCCCTTTCTCCTTGAGCCCTACATCAACTGAGAGAGACACAGAGAGAGAGAGAAAAAGAAGTAGCGGTTGTGTTAGTGCGAATAAAAGGATACGCTGGTCATTTAAAAAACAAAGATATAATTAGATTGGACTAGAGAATAAAAAAGAACAACTCACATGTCTCTAATGTGCGTTTGTAATATGCCTGTGGTTGGTCAATCTCTCTCTCTCTCTCTTGTGGGTACTGATCTTGAAATCTTGTGTATGATTTGTGGGTTCTAAGATGTCTTTCCACACCCACATTTCACCATAGAAACCTGATACTCTATTCATTCAAAATCTTGATCGTCATGGAAAATTACGTGTTGGATATTTGAAATTGTCTTGGCAAGAGGACCTGGTCTTATATTATTGCATGATGTATAGGCCAAACGTTATGAAGCAAGTGCTAGGGGCCTCAATCGAGAGACTTGTTCCCATGGATTCCATTAATAAGAAAAGCTTGGCTCGAATGATTGCTCCATTTCCCGGTGACGACTTGTCATTGCAATTATGTAAATATTGAAATTTTGTGCTCTATACTGTTATAATCACTAATTCATTTAATTTTAAGGGTAATGATTTTCAACAAGATACGGACATGAAATTCTTAGGTTATGATTGATTTATTTTGGAGACTACTTAGAGTTAAATACATATATTCAATTTAATTATAATTCAATTCAAATTATATATATATTCATATTTTTCTTTAAAATATTGATGAAATAAAGGGACTACTTACGGTAATTCAATTAAATTCCAAATATAATTTACAAGAAATCAGCTTAATTGAGTTGCTCAGATTAGATATAAATTTGAAAATGAAGGCTATCGAATAATTGAATAACATTCGGATCAAATTTTTTAGTTAAATTTTGAATCAAAATTTTATTTTTTGTTCAACGGTCAGAAGTGTCTAAGTCAGTTTACTCACACCTCGACTAATATCTTCTATGGTCCGGTGAAAGACAGATCATCCACGTCGGGATTAAGATATTTATGAGGGATAAATCCCTTATGGTCTTACCTAAGGAGTTGTTAAGATTCAAATCCAGAACGTCTAAATATATAGCTGTTATCACTTGGGGCATGTTTGTTCCGAGAATTATTTATGAGTGGTATTTGAAATGTATTCCTTACATTTCCAATACCAAGAGATATTAGTACCAGTACAAAAAATTATTCTAATCTCCTCTCATTTGTTTGTTCAATAGGTATTATAGTGGATCCCACAAACAACCATATATTCTATCACATCTTATATAACGAATATATCATTTTACCATTAACATTATCGATTCCATTTTTCCCTCAACTATCTGTACAAAGAAAAAAATTAAAATAATTTATAAAAAAAAATGGTAACACCGTACGCTTAAACATAATATAAGGAAAAAATTCAAAATAATTTTTTTTTAAAAATTTCAAAAAAAAAAACGAGTAACATCGTACGCTTAAACATAATATAAGAAAAAAATTCAAAATAATTTTAAAAAAAAATCGGTAACACCGTCCTCTTAAACATAATACAAGGAAAATTTTCAAATAATTTTTTTTTAAAAATTAAAAAAAAAAATCGGTAAACACTGTACGCTTAAACATAATATAAGGAAAAAATTTAAAATATATAAACTCTTAACAAAGGAGGGCATTTGTGTCAATTTGCATGTTTGTACCGTCCTTTTATTTAACCCATGAAAATAATACCACCTGGTTGGTGATAATCATTAATACCATCTACAAGGTATTATGACTACTGTTTATACCGGATTGGTATTACGACCTAGAAAATAGTACTGGCTATAAAATACTAAACAAACAAGGTATAAGATGCGTCCCACATACTATTTTCTAATTCGAGCTCCTTATCTCCAAAACAAACTAGCCCTTGAGGTATATCTTGGGGTTAATTTTGATTCCAATTTAAATCAACCGAAATTCGATCTTAGTCTAATTTCGTTGACAGCTTATTCCAACCCATCTTACATGTGTACACAAACAACTATCAAGATTAAGGGTGTTCAAATTTTCGATTACCTGTAAATTTCAATTTTATCCTATCCGACTCTATTGATCGACTACCCAAAAGAATCGGATAGGGTAGGCCAACGGAAGATTTTTTGCTATTTCACAAAAAATCAAACAAGAATACAGAATATTTACAAAATTTTTATATTTCTACTCTGCCCTACCATATATACCACTATTAAAAGTGGTTTAAGTAAAAAAAAATTATTTCTTTATTTATCCTTCAATAATTATATAATGTCTACTTTATCCTTTTTAAAGTGGCTTAAAAAAAACTTTTGATTTTCTTATTTATTTTTCAAAAATTCTATAATGTCTACTTTATCTATTTTTGAGGAATTTTTTTATTAGTTGCATTAATTCTACTAATAAATTCATTTTTTAACTTTTGATTATCTTATTTCCAAACAATATAAATTCAATCTAAATCCGATTTGAACAATGTGACCTGAATCTAATTTAATTGTCAAACGAATTTTATTTTTCACAGTACATATATGAGTCCGTTAAAATAGATATATGTTCTAATCCAACTAAGTTGATTAGAGATGATTGTAACATTTTAACACATGAATTTCTACTCAATTTTATTAAATAATCACCAAATCATATCATATGTTCGTATATAATTATAGTTACTTAGTGCATATCCAAATTCACTAAAAAATAAATATTTAAATAGATTTAATAATCTATATACTACTTTTGAATGTCAATAGTTGTCAAAAAACACTTAATTGAAAGTACTATCCTTAAAAAGATAAAAAAACTTAACATATTGTAGGAACTTCTTATTAATCCAAAAAATCAGCAATTATCCATCTATTAATCACTTATTGAAGTTAAATATTATAGTTTTTAAATGTAATGCAATGCAAGTCAATTTTTTTTTAAATTTATGCAATTCAGTTTATACAACCCAAAATACGAGAAAAATCTTGAAAGTAACAGTTATCTNTCAACGGTCAGAAGTGTCTAAGTCAGTTTACTCACACCTCGACTAATATCTTCTATGGTCCGGTGAAAGACAGATCATCCACGTCGGGATTAAGATATTTATGAGGGATAAATCCCTTATGGTCTTACCTAAGGAGTTGTTAAGATTCAAATCCAGAACGTCTAAATATATAGNCTTGAAAGTAACAGTTATCTCACGTCAGAAGTGTCACTTTATGTAATTGTCCACTAACAAAGAAACAAGTGGACAAATGAGCCCTCATAAAATTCAATAATCATTTTCATATAAATATAAAGAAAACTAGTTCAATTTACCTTCTTTTTTTTTAAAAAAAAAAGTCAAAAATAGTTGGTGTGCAACACCCACATGCACCAATGTGCACCAACTACTATATATATGTATGTTAATCCCTAAAAATTAAAATTTAAAAATCTAGAAACTCTAATATTTTATTGATGTTTATGAATTTTTTATATATGATGTATTAATGTTTATGACTTTTCATGTTGTATTTTATTGTATTTATTTATATATTATCGAATTTGTTGTATTTTCTTTAGTACTATTAGTTTATTGTGTTAGTTAATTAGTGCAGGTTATTTAATTAAATTGGTAAAATGATTCAAAAATTAATAACTAAAAAAATATGTATTCACCTGATTTCCTAACAGACTTCCTACCCAATTGTTTTTTACGGAATTCAGGTAGGAATAATACACTTGATTAGGTAGAATAGGCCAAGAAAATTTTTTTTCATAAAATATCGTGTAGAAAGATGAATTATCATAATTCCTACCCCGTAAGATGGGATGAACACCCCTAATCAAGAACTCTAATATTGAAGATATTTATGCAATTTCATTAAAATAGAGGGGCATTTTCATAAATTTTGTTACTATGTAAATCCCAAAACCCTCATTCTCATTACACTCTCCTCTAGGGCATGTTTGGATTGCGGGCTAAAGAGGATAACTCTGGTAGGATAAAATAAAAAAATTATGTAGGGTTCATATATCTTTTGAGTAATATTTTTTTGCTAAGTAAAAAATTTATTGGAAATCCTATTCGAATTTTATCTTAACCCAATTTGAAAAGTCAATTTTAAACCATTTATATGGGTTAAATGATACCTAAGGAGGGCTATGATATTTTTTGTCAGACAAGATAATTAATGCAAATGACTAAATTGTTCTGTTCGTTTCTCGTTATCTCTTTCATCTACTCGTCTACTCCTCATTTATTTTTTTACAGATTTGATTTATTTTTTCAACAAATTTATTTTGTCAAAACAACGCTCTACAGACATGCCTCAAGATGACCAAACGTCTTCTCTAAGAAGACAACTAATTTAAATAATAAACTAACTCTAATAAAATAATATCTTATTTGGACTAAGATTAATTAACAACTAATACTAAAATAACTAATTAATGAAAGCTTGAGTTAATTTTCAACAGTTCTCGTAATATATGAACATCCATTTAGATGATAAGAAATTATATATTTTTAAAAATTACTTATAAAAAAATTTGTTTAAAATTAGTTAAAGACTAATTAATAAACCGTGTTTAGATTGAATAGGTTAAGAACAAGAAAAATACTATATAAACTAAATTTGTATCTGAAATGAAGGGGATCATTGAATAAGTAAGTCTCATCAACTTTTTTAAATATGACCCACTAATCCTTTTAATTTGAGATTCAAATTTAAGTTACATAATATTACTTTCAGAATAAAACTGTCATTAGTATCATATTTTATCACCCTTCTCCATAAGTCTAATAGAAGTGTTTATGAGTTATCCAAACATTGAAAAAGATATTTATAACCATTAAATTCTGACTAATTCAATGATAGATGAATTTGAATTAGATAAACAAAGATATTTTTTTTTGTAGAAATGATAAGTGAATTTATATTGAGTAAAAAAAAAAATTTTTTTTAGATCTCCAACCCAGTCTCACGTTTTCATCAAATACACCTAAAATGGCTACTCGGTTCTTGGCTCGTTCTCTGCTCACCACCACCAACCAAAACATTTCTTCGGCCTTTTCGCGCTCCTATTCTTCTCTTACTATAACCAAACCTCCTTCTTCTCTCTCTACTTTCTCTCTCCTCAGGCTTAGACCACTTATCGCCGCCAACATACGCAAACCTCTCTTCGGCGGAGACTACTGTTCGGAGCTTCGCGACTCGTCAGACTTCTTCGTCTCTGAATGATCCGAACCCTAACTGGTCGAATCGCCCCCCTAAGGAGACTATTTTGCTCGATGGATGTGATTTCGAGCACTGGCTTATTGTTCTGGAGAAGCCTGAGTGTGAGCCTACCAGAGATGAGATCATTGATAGCTACATCAAAACCCTAGCTATGGTTGTTGGAAGGTTTGACTACAATCTCTTTTTTTAATTCTTAGGATTTCTATGGGTTTCTTTTGGAATTTGGGAATTTATTGTAAGTATGTTATATGACTTGTATACAGTTGATAGAATTGGGTAAAATTGGAACGATACTTTCGGAATTTATTTATATTTGATACTGCTGGTTGCTCTTTAAATATATCTGTTATTGTGTCTGGTTATGTATATGTTTGAGTTCATTTCGGTGTTTTCCATAATGTTTATGGCAATTTATGTTATCCGTTTTGGAGTTTTTGTCTTTGCTTAATTGGATTTACTTTTGCTCTGTTTCATTGATGAGAAATGGTGAGGGAATTTCAGGTAATGTATGTATGGTGTGTGTGTGTTTGGCTGCGCTCTTCAAATATGCTCTATTTCGTTACTGAGAAAATGTGGAAAATTTGAGGAATGTTTTTCAAATTTTGGTGATTGTTTATGTTTTTTTTGTTTGTCGGCTGTTGAGAAAAAGAATGTAAAGGAATAATTCAAAAATAGCTATATGAATAAACAAAATATAGAAAGGAGGTCAAAGGAAAACGGTATTTTTTATTTGATTCGGAAACTTTGTTCTTCTGAATTTTTTTTTTTTTTTTTAAAGATTGTTATATTTTAGGGAAGTAGTGGGAAATCATTATTTTGTATATGGAATTTGTGATTGGCTCCAATTTTGGAGATATTTTCGATGGTGTTTGGTCGAAGTTGTAAAATTTATAGTATTTTGGGCCCTAAATAATGAGTAGTTTATTTAATTCATTTTATAATCTCTCTACATAGGGGGGCTTGGGAAATTTGGTTGAGAAATGAAGCTGTTTAGAGCTAAATATGGAAGAGCAGACCTGTTACACAAGGATGTTAAATCGATATGTCGCTGAAATCCTCTGTTTGATATGTATGATCAATATTTATGTGTTCTTAATTGTTTTTTTTTTTGTTAGTTTATGGAGTTGTTTTATTTGCTCTTGAGAGATTATTTTACTTCTTGAGTTGCATCAATGAACTGTTCCTTTTTTTTTGTGCTTGTATACTTTTTTCTGATGCCTCTGATGATATGTACAGGTTTATGTGCATTTTTTTTTTGAAGTAGTAAACTGATAGGATTGGCATCATTTGGTTTTCCTTTCTTTGCTGTTGGTATTAATTATGATGTCTCTATTGTACTTTTACAGTGAAGAAGAAGCAAGGATGAAAATCTATTCAGTTTCAACAAAACACTACTTTGCATTTGGGGCCCTTGTATCTGAGGAACTTTCATACAAGATGAAAGGTACTTCATGTAATTGCTGCTTGGTTTCTGCTCTTACTCCGCTGTGGAGAAGTTTTAAGAATTTGTTTTCTATAATTTTTGCAGAATTGCCTAGAGTGCGCTGGGTGCTTCCTGACTCTTACTTGGATGTTAGGAACAAGAATTATGGAGGCATGGACCTCCATTTATTGAAGTTTGGTTCCTATAATAGTTTGCTGTTTTGATTCATAAAGTGCAGGATTGTTTGTTGATTTGTTATTTTGTTTTCCATGAGACAGGGGAACCTTTCATTAATGGTCAGGCTGTACCATATGACCCCAAGTATCATGAGGAGTGGGTAAGAAACAATGCACGTGCAGGAGATGGGAGGAAAAGACGCAATGATAGACCTCGAAACTTTGACAGATCAAGGAATTTTGAATGAAGGATAGAAAATCGGGGTTATCCAAGTCCTAAGGCAAATCAAAGCATGCAGAACCATGGTACCAACATGGGAGGAGGGCCGCCCAATAACATGTCCAGTGCACCCAACATGGTAGGAGTGCCTCCCAATAACATGGGGGTTCCATCAAACATGGGAGGAGTGCCTCCCAATAACATGGGCAGTCCGTCAAACATGGGAGGAGTGCCACCCAATAACGTGGAGAATGCCGCCCAATAACATGGGAGGTATGCAACCCAATAACATGGGTGGAACACCGCCAAACTCCATGGAGGCTCTGCTCAACAGGGGAGGACTACCACCAAACATTGGAGGAATGCCCACGAATAATATGGGAGGAACACCCTCAAATTCCATGGGAGGAATGCCACCAACCAACTTGGGAGGAATGCCTCCCAATAACATGGGAGTAGTGCCGCCCAATAATGCTCCAAACTTCCAGTACAGAAATGGGCCAAACAACGGAGGCATGCCTTATCAATCTGGTCCAGGACCAAACAGAGAGTGTCGAAACAGCTATGCACCAAATGCTGGTGGAAAGTCTTTCCAAACCCAGAACATGCCTGGAAGGGACATGCCCCCACCCCCTCCTCCCCCATCATAAGACTATTAATCAACACGTTGCACATAAGTAAGGATCTCATGCATTTAGGGTTTTCTGTTATGGATGTTTTTTGCTTTCTTGAGCTTCATAAGTTGTTTACGAATGGTAATGTTTTAAGAATGTTAATCCTGGTTTTATGTTGATGCTTAACTGGTTGGTAGTGGAAATGATCAAGCTTATGAGTCATAATGGCCGGATTTTCCTATTCTTATTGTCTTTTAGTGGTGTTTCTTGTTTGTATTGTTGGTTGATAGTACATTTCAATTGTCTATACATGTTTTTGGGGTCATGGAAGAAATTTCTGATTAATAACCCTAGGATGCAGACTACTGGAATGGTGGCATCAAGCTTTGCTGGTTTGTCCCATATGTAGTATTTAGTTCCTGCCTTCAGTTCTGACTGTATTGTAAATTTATAGTTACAAAGTGTATTTGTTTAGTTTTTCATTCATAGATGGTTTTGAGAGCATGAAACACAGTTCAAGGATTCCTCCATCCGTTGGTTCCTCACAAACAACTCATCATTCCTTTTGAGCCAGACATTGATCCTAGCTCGTTGTTGCTTCACCACTGTCGTAACTGCTAGTCATAGCACCCCTCTCCCTTCTATCTTAAACAACAAATTAGTACAATTCTCCTCGTCTCCAATTACTGTTTTGGTCTGTTAGCTTATATAGTGGGAAGCTTGGATGGGCATCTATGTGCTTCCACCCGACTCATTAAAATCTTTTGTAGGGAGAAATCAGGGTAGAGGTCTAAGGTGGTGGGTTGTGGAGGTGATGGCCGTGGCGGCATAGGGAGGATAGTTGGTTCTAGGTTGATTTAGGGCAGATTGGATGTTGGGTATTGAATTATTTCTGGCTGAACTTCCAGATTTGATGTTGGGTTTGGAGTTTGAGACGGTGACTGCTCTGGCAGATTTTTGCTTGCTTTGAGGTGGTATCTGCTGGTTTAGTCGGTTATCGAGTGGGGGAGTGAGTTTTTTTCTAATTTTCTTTGGTGACATGGGGATGCTTTATCTAATGGATTTTAGGGTTTAATTTTCTGTATGTTTCTAGGGGAGAATGGGTATTCATGAAGAAAAAAAATGTGGATGTTGTCAACAAATTTTTTTCCAGTGGATGTTGTTATATTATGAATTCTCTAGTCTCAGTATGAATGATTTATCTTTAATCGGATCAGAGAAGAAATTAATCAAGGTACATCTAAACTACCCTGTAATACTAAAAAAAGAATATAAAATCAAAACAAAAATTGAAGTTTTGTTAAAAAATTAAGAAGGTATTTATTAATATATGGGTAAGTGGCATTTCAATAAGCCATTCTATTATAATTCAAATTCACAAAATGAATCATGATTTTTCAGCTCCCAAACTAGATTAGATAATGCTAATCATCAAGAAGTCATGATTCATATGAAATCTTTCATTGTTTGTGTTAGCCATCCATGACTTAGCTAATCAACAACCAAACAAACTCAAACTAAACAACAAGACACCTCTACTTAAATCTATCGCCAAAGAGTTTGTAACAGCTTTGAGCTCAAAGAGAAAAAAAATGACTTTGATCGAGTAAAGGGTGCTGTTTAGTTATACGTATATTGCATGGCTATATATAAAGTCACTGCTTTTTTATACAAATCACCTGCCAAAATTGTTGCACGCAACATAAATTTGCTTCCTCCAAACACATTGCTCATCATATTGTTGCTCATTGAGTGTCTCGACTGACTTAATTTTCTCACTCTGCGGTCAAGGGTTCGATCAACGCCCTACCTAGTGCCGGTAATTCTAATAACCAGAAGCAAAAGTATAATATAAAAACAAGAAGATAACATCACAAGAATAAGGAATCAAAACTATAATATGCTTATGTTTGATTGTCAAAAAGAACGTTGGAGAAGAAAACAAAATCTGAAATCTTGTAACAATTTGGGATTGGATTTGCACACATAAGACCCCAAGATTCCATTTTTTTTTCCTTTTGATTCCAAGAATCCTCACTCCAGAAACAAAATGCAATTACTTTAATTTCCGAAAAAAAAAGAAGAAAATTTCATGCAATTGAACGACCTAGTGCTGGTAAGAAACAAATAATCATGACTATATAAAATGGTCTCCTTGCTCTCTATTCATCTTATGTTTCCAGTTTGTAGCTAAAGAGATCTCTCAGTGGATGGATAAAAGGAGTAAGAAGTTGTCAGAGGTTGCCAAGTGTCAAATTCTGCTCTTCTGTTCTTGGCAGCACGAATCTGATCCGCAAGTGAAACTTCTTTTTGTATGCGTTCTCTTTTTATGTTGTCCGGATCAAATTTCTCCCAAACTCGATTATCTTGGCTAGTGACTTGACCGTTTAGAGATTTCTTTCTGTGGATCTGTAGACAGGTAAAAGGAGTATCATCAAAATAGTAGAACACTGGTAAAAATTACATAAAAAGGTTACCAATATAACTGTGTTTTGAATATGATAATCACCATGCATCACGAGTGCTGAAGATTTTGACATCTGAGCGATGAAGATGATACTTAAACCAAGAGGGAAGAATCTATTTCTAATACTTCTATGCTTATTTCAAAAAAAGAAATACGGCACCAAGATTTTCCTAAAAGGAACCATTCAATGCTTGAATTTATTCTGAATATTCTGCACCTCCTGTTCTTCTGAATTTCGAAATTAATTTACTCACGACATACAATTCAGCTGGGAATCACACTGTTCTAAATCTAAGCACCAATCCTCGTTCATATTCCATGTTCCTAAAGAAATCGTTAAACATGTTATAAAATATGGTAAAGACATTCATATGGCATTCACATGTAGTCAATAGTATCATTGTGGAACTAGAATATCTTCAAGACATACTAGTTCCAACTTGGTTTTTCCATGTACTTTTTACCTTTGTTAATCTCTCCTTGAGCTTCAACTCTTGAGCCACAGCTAATTCTTCTTTCTCTTCCTTTGATTTTTTGTGTGTCTTTCTCTTTATTGGTCTCCTTACTTTTGCCTTTTGTTCCTGCTCTCTTCTCTTCTCAGCAAGCCTTGCCATCTTTTCTGCTTTTGCTTGTGATGATCTCTCGGCTCGTATCCGTGCAATTTCCTTTGCCTTTGCCTTGTCTGCAGCCCATTGAAGCTGCTCGAGATCCATCTCTCTTTTCATCTTTCCATAGCTATCCCAATCTAGTTCTTGTTGGTCACCCCCACCTTTCTTGGCAGCCATGGCGATACTTTCAGCCCAGGATAGTGAGAATTTCTCCCTCAACCTTTTCCATTTCAAACGCTCTTCCCACAGCTGTCTGAGTGATGAGCGTATTCTTGCCTTGGTCTGAGGGCTGCAAGGGATAATCATGGTTTATTGCCAACCTTTAATCCGAAGAAACTTCATGTTGCATGTCAGTGTTGACTTTGATGGCTTAATCTTTTTTATGCTGTAATAAAGAAAACCCAATTTCCATTGAATGATACAAGTGGTGAGCTTGACAATTATGTTCCTTAAAGCTAAAGAGGACTACAGAGGATTCTATCGTGTGCAGGGCTTCAAGATAAAGGCTGCTTCGTCATGAGACCAATATACTCTATTTAGGTATGGACGGACATCAGCTTCAAAAGCTCGTACAGACATGTAAGAGGGTAATAACTAATTCCAGAAAATGAGTGTCCTAAACAAGTTATTAAAATTACTCCAGAGAACAGGATGATATCTAATTAACATACTTGGTTTTCAAATTTCAAGTCTAGCAATTTCAATGAAAATCCTGCTCCGTGGGCAAAATTTCCTTGTAATTCAAATTTCATGATTGAATAACATGTTTCCTTATTATGGGGTATGCTATGACTGGTCATCTGTTGAAAAAAGATTATAGAGATCAGAGTAAGTTCAATCTTGCATGAGGCTGTTCCCAAAAACATGCATATTACGTGTCTTTGATATATCAACTGTGCTTATGTGGTGGCAAGAGCATGATTCATAGCCAAATAGTCGAATGCTTGATAGATTCCACATACAATTCACTTCATTTTTCATCAAAAGCAAATACGAACTCAACTTTTGAAGCCTTTATGGGAAGCAACTAGTGTATATATCCAGCCTATACTTTAAGTCTAGTATTGTGCCGAAATGTGTTGTACAATTTTTATTGGAGGAAAATAAAAGTAATATGGTGTAAAAACATTTGTATTTGTCTGTGATGAACAGTAAGAACTAGGAGTTCAAATCACGAGTACCTAAGAGAGCGGGGACATTCAGACATCTTCTTTCTAACCTGAAACATAAGTTCAAAATTAATTAGAGAGACTAAATGATACTTCCAGTGTCATGGTGCAAAACAACATAATCACCGTGTAGCAATATTGAAAAAAAATTTCTCAAAACTGAAATGACACAGTAAATCCTTTATACCAACTTTCTCAGCAGTACTCATGCCACCAAAAAACCAAAAAGAGAAAGCAAAATACCAAAACTGATATTCTTACGTGAATTCACCTTGGGGTCTCTCATGGCTTCTTTTGTTCTCTGTCTGATCCGCTCACGAGTCTCTGCAGACAGAGTATGGTGAATTCAAAATTGTTGAAACCTCTGAAGGAAATATATTGGGCATAAGAAAAATCTATAAACAGAGGTACCTGCACTATGTCTCTTGCCTTTGTTCCATGGCACTTTCCCCTTGTTAGCTAGCCCAATCTTTCTTCTTCTCTGGCTTTCCTTATGATCCTCAAAATTAAAACTTTCTTTAGTATTGGGAATACTATCTAACTGGGTCTCTTCATTTGAAGTTTTCTCCTCGGATAAAATGAAACTAAGCTCTTGCTCACAACATCCCAGAACATGGAACTTTTTTCCTGTAGTAACACTGGTATGCAATCCTCTACGAGAATGCAGTCCAGTGAACGAACTAAAAAACCCAAATGAGGGAGATATCTTCTTCACCAGAGATATACAACAACTCAATGGCAGTATGTTTGGGTGAAATTGTGTGCATTTCACCATATAACTAAGAAGAAGCGGTGACAAAAGGATGTCAGGCTCATTCTTGATAGGGACATAAGGGGTAGAGAGTCTCCTGATGAAAATACAAATATATGCATCATAAGAACATTCTGTCATCAATTTGAGCCATCCTTAGTATGAACTTAAACAAAATTATTCATCCCCAGTCTATTATATTTTCAATAACTATAGTAAATACTAATTCTATTATGGAATTGACTTACATTACCACACCATTCGCCTATAATACAATCCAAATAGCAACAATATTAAAATTCAATTGCATTATGCAGAAGTAATAACCCTGGCAATCAAAATTTCCTTTATTGGCAAAATCAATTATAACCCGATGCATCTCTCAGTAGAACAAGTATAATCAGTGGATTAATGCTTTCTTACATTCCATGTCCAGATAAACATTCATTCCTACTATAAATTCAACCCACAATCTTTGACATCTGAATAATATTGACATAAATATATATATATATATATATATAAATATATGAGAGAGAGAGAGAGAGAGAGGGAGAGCTTACAAGTGAGAGAATAGCATTTCTGACAAGAAGGTAGAGAGTGAAAAAGCTTCCAAGCAACATCGAAGAGAGACAGAGAGGCTTTATCTAGCGAATGGCCTATGCCTAGGCCCAAATTTAGCACATATATTTGGCCCTAAAAAAAATTAGAATCACTTAAAAATTTTGTAGGCTTCTAATTTTAAAAAAAAAATTGAATACGAAGTGCAAAGTAAATAAAAAATCGATACAAAAATAATGAGCTTAAGTTTAGCCTTAATAGATATGGGTAATAAATAAATAAATTTGATAGATCTTTTAAATAAATGGGTTAAATAAATCCAACTAAATAAGAAACAAATTTGCTAAATATGACTTATATATAGTACAAATGCGATTATAAAATATTATAAATGGAACGGGTATAAATTGAGTCAATTTTGATACAATACAACTAAATGAATACTTTTTATTACTTTTATTTTTATAGTCTTAATTATTTTTTTATGTAAATACTAAAAAGATGAGTTATATAGAGACACCATATTAAAAGAATAAGATATTTGTAAAAAAGACTCTAAATCACCATAAATGTATAATATTTCGTAATATTATAGTCACTTATAATAAGGGAAAAGACGTGATAGTTTTCATTTGCAAGAATCAATAGGCAAGTAACAAAGTGTTGGCTTAAATTCGAAACTTGTTTTTGTTCGTGTCAAAGTTTTTATTTAATTATTTGTTTTTCCACACACACAAAATAATAAAAAAAAAAAAATAAAGTGGGTTAGACTAGCTTACTATTCAAAATCTTATTAACATTAATCATTTGAAAAATTATATTGCTATATTAACAAATTATTTTGTATTGAAAACTATACAAGCGTATAAATTAATGATGAAGTTTTCTAATAAGTTAGTGTAGTTCTCAAATTTTTGATTGATTGCTTGTAAACATTTGATTTACATGCTTATCTGTAAATAATTTATTCTCATTTTGTTATTATTTAGAGTAATTTTCATCCCTTAAATATCTCTCTCCACCCTCATTTAATACTCATCAACTAAGTAGATCACATTTTTTGTTGCTCAAGATCCAAATCCGAGACAAGAGTATGCAATATAGAGGAAGTTAAAGCGGAGAATCCTACACATGACTTGCGAATTTGACACAGAGTTGATAAATTTGAATTTAACTTGAATGGTAAATTGACAATTCATTAAACCTATCCAGTAAAAAAGTCGATACGAATTTGGTTAAACACAACACAAATTCAACTCAGCACCACTTATACATGACACAAATCGGATCATACATGCTAATAAATGAGTGGAATATATATGAATTGAATAAATTTTGACATAACAAAGCTAGCGTTTCAAGTTCATACAAAAGTGTTGAAATACAATAGAAATTCAATAAAGTAAGCGCTACACGGGTAGTGTACCAGTGTGGAGTTAATATTAGAGAGAACCATCAATTCAAACACTTTCAATTCAATTCTTATTGTTGACTCTCGACTTTAACTAATATCTATAATTAACGAATGATTTTATGTATTCGGGTTTGACTTTACAAATATAGATCCACCACGACTCTCTTTTGAGTGGTTTTTCATCCTAAAAATGCATCATGAATTTATAGCCTAAAAATGTGTTGAATTGTCCTCCAGAATAGCTCATATAAATTTTTTTGAGCATTATTACCTTGAGATCTCAACTTTGATTCTTGTAGAAACAATCTTGATTTACTTGATGCGGGTGATCATGAATAGCTCAGATAAACATTTTTGAGCAATTTTTTTGAAGGCCATCTTGCTTCGGCAATTTGATCAACCTTAACTTTATACTCGGATGTCGTATTCGTAAACGTGATATATGTTTTTCTTGCAAAATTTTATTCTTGAACCACTAATTTATAGTATTTTATATTTGTGTCTCTTTTCTTTCTTCTTTTTCGTCGTAAGTCATTGTCCGAAACAGGAACTGAAATTAGCCAAATTCTCAGATTTACATATGATGGCTCCCTTGAAATATTGGTGAAAGCACTTAATCTAAGTTTGTTTCCGTTGTCGATAATCCTGTAACAGATGTGCATACAAAATCTCATTCCATGTATCAGGAACTCCTGGTAAACACCAATGAATGCAATCAGCGTAAGTTTTTGGATCTGATCTCTGTTCTCTGGTCAAGAGCTTGCCTTTCCTTTCACCATACACCGATGTATGACCGTCTTTTCGGAATTCCGACAACTGGGTGATGTTCAGTAATCTTACTTTTTTCTTCAGTTTTCCTAACACATCTTCCACTATTCCCATGATATCCAGGCTTGAACCAGTTCCCCAGTATGGCCCTTGAATGGGGTGTGTCTCATTGAAACAGTTTCCATCTGTTCCAGCCTTCCACTCCCAGTTCCTGTAAATTACAATATGTGACAGGTTATGTGCCAGATTCCTAGGAGGGTGGTTGCAAATCAAATGTTTAGGATTGGATTCCAAGTGAATCCAACTGTTCATGAATAAATCGGGATCGACTCACTTAAAACCTCGTTCAATAGCATTCATTTATTAAATCTCAAAAGATAAGTAAAATGGTTTTTACTATTCGCAGTTGATCATTTTAAATTTTTACTTTAAAATTAATCTAATGGTTAATATTAACACCTTAAATTTAATAGAAAAATAGGCGTTAAAGGTGTGTTTTGAGTAACTTTTTAAAAGTATTTATAACAATTATTTCTCATAAGTACTTTAAAAATATCACCACCGCCGCCACCACTACCACCACCCGTCGTACCGGCCACCGCCACCACCACCGCCGCTGTCGTTGCTGCCACCATCCTCACCACCGCTGTCGTCGCCGCCACATTGTCGCTATCACCGCCACCACCACCTCCACTGCCGTCGCCGTCGCTACCACGGTCATTGTCACCCACCACAACCATCATCGTCTCCTACCACCACCACTGCCACCCACTATCTCTCATCCTTACTGCAATCGATGCTTAAATTCATTTATTTCTATTATATGTTTATGATTTGATTTTGAATATAAATAAAAATATTTTTATTGTTTACCATTTTTATTACCATGTGCCTAGTAGTATAAGATATTTGGAATTCATAACGATCCTCCTGTGCCAATCTGGAATACTGTCTGTGTGTTGGAGTAATGACTGTTTTTTCAACACTCACCATAAATGTGTTGGAGACATGGTCATGAAGAAGACCTTTTGGTCTTGAGAGTTGATGCTGGATTCTATCCATTTTGCCCAAGTTTCTAATGCTAATCTATATGCTGTAGTTACATTATATTCTTGAATATCCTGAAGAGATCCATATCTGAAACACAAAAGCAACATAGAAAAAAGATTAAATCAAAATGAATCTGAAATTGTTCTATTATATGACAGAATCAAAGTGTTTGGGATAATGCTTGGGAAGCTTTCTTTTGCTTAATTAATCTCCTATTTTTGAGTTTCAAACCATAGTTATCATAATTTACTAAACCCTTGATGACCCACGATCCGGGTAGATTGTTTGCAAACAGGGTGAGTTCGCGATCAAGATCACCAAAATGGACGATCTTAAATTGTATACACAATACAAATATAAAATACATATTAATTAACGTGTATAAAGATTTATAATTATATATTATTTTAGATAATAAAAAATTGAGCACAAATATAAGGTAATGGTAATTGAGTTAGTGTTTATGGATGTTCTAGATTATATAAATTTGATATATAATATTTTATAGTGATAAAAACGATCTAGATAAGAGACTAAAAACAAATTGCAACCTAAACTATCGTATCAGTTAGGTCTATTTTTATCGTACCACATACCTAAAAAAGTATTGTACCATTGTTCCTAACCAATTTTCCTCCTATCACATTCCAATCTAACCACTTTCCTAATTTTCTAATTATTCTTCAACTTCTAATCTTCCTATTCACTTATTCCTGTGGCATTACCGAACAAATTAAACAGATTGGGGGCAGGGACAATTAGAAATATTGAGGCCGTGGGAGAAATTTATAAATTCTGTGCATTTGCACAAGACCACCGTAGTTCAATTATAATTTCTACTATTCACAATTTTCTCGATCCTCTTGAAGTACAGTTTCTCTCAAATTCCTTTAATGATATATCATCCATCATGAATTCAAGTGAGACCCAATATATATACGGGTTGTTAAAAAATTATACGATTAAGAATAAAAATTTAGGGATAACTACATTCGAAGGTATGAGAATGCGCCGTTGGCGGCAGGGGGGTGGTTGTAAATGAAATCAAGTACTCACGTAGCATTGATTGAAGGTTTGTACATCCACCAAACATAGCTCTCAAATACCAGAATATCGACTCCTTTCCACTGTTCGCTGTGTTTGGCAATGGAGTCAAGCTTCACCAGCCGTTTATGAACTGTATGATTTGTTGCATGGTCTGAAATAGACTCAATAAGGAAAGGAGCCCAATAATACTCAATCGATGCATTGTACTCCTGAAACCAAACACCACAAAAATGCAAGTTTGGAAAGCTATAAAGCCAAGACATCTTGGTAAAAACATAATGGAGGCTATTATTGAAGTTGAGCTTCAAACAAGAACAGTTTAGTACACAAGTCTCTCGTCACTATGCGGTTTAGGAAAGATCGGATATATGCAGTATGCGAAGAGGCTGTTTGTCGAACATATTAACATCAAATTAAGGCCTTAAGGACATTAGTCCATGTTATGTTACATTAGTACCTCAGCTATGAAAATCTTCCTTGGAGGGATTCTTTGTAGAGATTTCTTTCCATCAGGAATCACAGATTGTACCAAACAAACCATTGATTCAAACATTCCTCTCTGAATTGAGTCTCCCACGAACATTAGCCTTTTATCCCTCAACATCTCCAAAAACTTCAAAGCATTGATCCTAAGGATTAAGTATAAGAAAAATTCATTACAGATTCCACTTTACCATTTGAAGGAATTAAGCCCCAAGGTTCTGTTCNAAAGCATTGATCCTAAGGATTAAGTATAAGAAAAATTCATTACAGATTCCACTTTACAATTTGAAGGAATTAAGCCCCAGGGTTCTGTTTGGACGACAAATAAAAAAAAACATTAATTCCACATTTGTTTTGCTGTAAAGATTCATCAATGATTTGTATTCCAAAACTTTTTGGGAATTTTTACATTCCAAATCATTGAAGATCGGATCAGTACGTCTTACTAACTTTTTCTACTAGAATGCACAGATCCAACCATTCATGCGGATTTGAGATGCAAAATGTGAAATTTTTTTTACAGGGAGAAATTATGTGGATTTTCCCTCACAATTAAATACGTGAAAAATGTAGCCTATCACTAAGTTATCAAACAATGCAATTCTTGCAGTAGATGCCCATAACTCGCAAAGAAATGAATTCCCAAAACGATAGAATGTAAAACTAAAATCGATATTTTTTGACACGTTTCCTAACACGAAATTAATGGGTATGAGTTTAGGTTCAATGACTTAAAGTCGTAACCAATCAGCTAATCGAACTATTTAATATAGATTGATCTTCGAATCTGATTATCTACAACATGAGTCAACCTAACTTATACATGATTAGACATTAATACGAGAGGAGTTAGATANTCCTCCGGCAAGTCACCTGCTTCACCAAGAAGGGACAGCTATCTTCTGCATAAAGTGGGTATGATAAATTGTCCCATACCCATTTTCCATCAAACACATTGCAACCATCTTCAATCACTTCATCGTCAGAAACCCGAATGGGCGGCCTCACAAACCTCTCGGATGAACGCAGTTGCCACAAAAAATAGTTCTGACCATTCCTCAAATCGAGGACGACTCGTAATGACCCGAGTATCAAAAGAGAAGCCAATGCAATGGGGAGAAAAAAGAGGATCCGGCGGTCCGGTGATGGTTGTGTCTTCATGGAGAGCTGGTGGATGAAGAAGATGAAGTGGTGTTTGGCTCATAGTTTTGAGAGGGTTTGTGGGCTTTCCTTTGGAGGAGTGACTTGAGTTTCCAGCATCTATGAAGTTTTCTATGCAACTACTGGTTGGTAGTCTCAAGTTAGATATTGTGTCAAGTATAGTCTTGTTGTTGACATTATGGATCAATAATATTGATGGGTTAAGTCCAAATAGTCCAATTTATGTGTTAAAGTCCAACCCCAGTTGAGGAGCCCAACCTCATTGTGATTCTACCAAGCCCAAGACAGTCCAAGACCGGTTAGACTTCTTGCTTAGCACGTCATCAAGAGGAGAGCACGGGAAGCTTATCTGCACCACCAAAGGAAACGGTCCAAATCCACCAAGTCCAAGATAGTCCAAGGTCGGTTAGACTTCTTGCTTAGCACGTCACCAAGAGGAGAGCACGAGAAGCTTATCTGTACCACCGAAGGAAACAGTCCACTNCACCTGCTTCACCAAGAAGGGACAGCTATCTTCTGCATAAAGTGGGTATGATAAATTGTCCCATACCCATTTTCCATCAAACACATTGCAACCATCTTCAATCACTTCATCGTCAGAAACCCGAATGGGCGGCCTCACAAACCTCTCGGATGAACGCAGTTGCCACAAGAAATAGTTCTGACCATTCCTCAAATCGAGGACGACTCGTAATGACCCGAGTATCAAAAGAGAAGCCAATGCAATGGGGAGAAAAAAGAGGATCCGGTGGTCCGGTGATGGTTGTGTCTTCATGGAGAGCTGGTGGATGAAGAAGATGAAGTGGTGTTTGGCTCATAGTTTTGAGAGGGTCTGTGGGCTTTTCTTTGGAGGAGTGACTTGAGTTTCAAGCATCTATGAAGTTTCTATGCAACTACTGGTTGGTAGTCTCAAGTTAGGTATTGTGTCAAGTATAGCCTTGTTGTTGACATTATGGATCAATAATATTATTTGGATTCAATTAGTAATATGACCCATTATTTTTTTTACTGTTAGATTGATCCTGTCTGATATCGGAATTTTCGGCTTATCGAATAACAATAATTGATTAAATCAACAAATTATATTTAGAAATTTACATAAATTCCTAAGCATACTAGTTTAGTTCATTAACATTCTTTCCTTCAAAGACTTCAAAATCATTAATAACATGATATACATAAGAATCATTGAGTCTGACTAGAATGTGGTATTTGAATATTTCAAGTTCAAATGTAATTAAACTGTTTGGTTCTCGGTTATGTTGAGCATTGACTAGCTCCTTTTGTGAACATGACTCATTAACAGAATGAACTTTTTTTTAACTAAAGCATCAGAATTAAATAAGCATGTCCACCAGGTCAACCTTACATTTATTCCATAGCTCAATTTGTTGCTCTTTTTCTTCCATAATTTAACAGATTTGTATTGATGATACCAAAAATTAGCTAAGGCTAAGTTCAGACCTCTTAGATCCTGATCACTAACTCGGGATACGTAGGTCAAAAATCATCACCAATGTAACTCTCATGCACACGGTGACAACGACAGATTGCACATTCTAGAAAGTCACGTCACGCCTAGAGAATATAATTCCTAATAGCCAAATATTCCAACACATGGGTCATAATAGTCCTAGGTGAATCACGCTGATTATGCAAGAATCACATTAGTTACGGAAAGACTACAAACAACATGCAAGGCAACTGTATACCATAAATAGCGATCAAATCTCTCGGATTGTAATCAAGCAAGTATTTGTGCTATTATTCTGTGTAATTATAATCTTCTTCTCCCAAGTAATAGAAACCTCTCCTAGAACAAGAGATTTCATTAGAGTGGACTAGTCAAGCTTCTGAGCTAATGAATAACTATAAATTCTTTCTTCACTAGTCTTCGTTCATAGCTAATTAACTCCATGATCTATTGTTCAAATCCCAAGAGACCAAAAGCTCTGACTGAATATCCCAGTAAACCCTATCAATATTTTGAACAAGATTTTCAAATCATTCACGTCTGCTTAACTGCATATAGCACAATATATAATAGTCATAACCCGTGCTTGAAGGCACGATGAAATATAAAATTCGAGCCCTCAAAAAAATTTATTCCACTATATTAAATAATAAATTTTCCTTGTTTATCCATTATTTTCTAAAAAATATCTACAATTTTGTTTCAAAATACATAATTTGACAAAATTTCTCAACATACGTATATTATAGTATATGGATAATATGCGAAATAAAAATTATATTAAACTATAAATTAATTAAATATTGAAATAATATGGCATGTGATAGAAATTGGTGATGTGAAATTTTTTGAGAGAAAAATGTATAGGGAAAAAAATGCAACTTGTTAGTTATCTTATTATATAGATATACTAGTTATTGTCTGTACTTAAAGACATAAAGTAATAAAAAATGGTAAACAATAAACATATTTATATTTATATCAAAAACTAAATCACAAACATAGAGAAGAGATAAAAGAATTTAAGCAGTGGAGATGAGAGGTGGTGGGCGGCAGTGGTAGTAATAGGAGACGGTAATAGTTGTAATGAGTGACAATAATCGTGGTGGCGACGAGGGCGGCTGCTGCGATACTGGGGGTGGTGGCGGTGGCGGCAGTGGCGATAGCGATGACAGTGGTGGCGATTGCGATTGTGGCGATGGTGGTGGTGGTGGTGGTGGTGGTAGAGGTAGTGGTGAGACGATTTCAAATATTATTTTTTTTAAAGTATTTATAAAAAATAATTTTTAAAAATACTTTTAAAAAGTCAGTCCAAACACACTTTTAATAGCCTATTTTTTCTATTAAATTTAAGGTGTTAATATTAATCGTCGGATTAACTTTAAAGTAAAATTTAAAGAGATCTCACGAAAAGTAAAAATTANGTGGTGGTGGTGGTGGTAGAGGTAGTGGTGAGACGATTTCAAATATTATTTTTTTTAAAGTATTTATAAAAAATAATTTTTAAAAATACTTTTAAAAAGTCAGTCCAAACACACTTTTAATAGCCTATTTTTTCTATTAAATTTAAGGTGTTAATATTAGTCGTCGGATTAACTTTAAAGTAAAATTTAAAGAGATCTCACGAAAAGTAAAAATTATTTTTTTATTTTTTGATATTTAAATTATATTATATATTATTATATAGATATCTAAATAAGTTTTTTATTCGACCAATATAGGTTTGTTCAACCAAGATCCCTTCTGATGCTTTTTCCCCCATTTTTCTGCTTGGCAAATTGATGATACCAAGGAATATGCATACGTAATCCACACACAAAAAGGTAAATTTAGAAGATGTGCAAAGTGAAATCAACCTGGTCAAAGCCCAGCCAAGCTGCTAGCTAAAGATCCGAAAGCACAGACAGCTCAACCGGGTGGCTCAACAATATTTGAGATTCAATTCAAACTAATGACGGTCAATAATATTTTTATATTTTGTTAATAATAATTTAATTTTTTAATTTAAAATCTATTATTTTTAGTTTTTAATTGCTAATTTTTTTTATTTAAATTTTGCTAATATATTTTTTTAATTAATAATATGACTTTTGATCATAAATATTTATAAGAATTAAATTAATTTCTTCATTAATATTTTTTATGTTTTTTTATTTGTTTTATATGTTCTTTATCGAAACTGCGGAATTAAATGATTGATTTTATTATAAATAAATTTATTGTTATCTTCCTTTTGAATTATTTTACTATCTTTAAATTTTATTTATTTATCCATGTAACTTTTACCTAAATTTTTATTATATTTTATTTGTTACGAATAAGAATTTTATCAAAACATTTTTTTTAATGAGAATGAATGATTTAATTGATATTTTGCGTTCAAATGAAAAAAAAAATAAGAGAAGTAGAGAGTGTGTTTGGTTTGATTTTTTTTTTTAACTAAAAAGAGATGTTTATTACACTTCTTTTGATTGGAGAAAAAGATAAATTTTGTCAACATTTTTTTTATTAATCTTTTTTATCCTTTAATAAATATGATTGTGTGAGGAGGTCTCAACTTTTGAGCCCAAATTTTTAATTTTTTTGTTGGTTTACTTTTTCAAAAATTAAATTTTTAGGCAATATTGTAGTAATTTTTTTTTTAACTTATATTATATTATTAATCTTTAAATTTAGGGCCTTTTTCGTATGTGTGGCCTAAAGCCCCCCGCTTTTATTTTTATACTATAAGACCGACCCTGCAGCTCAAGAAGATAAGAGGGCAACTCAGTTCAACTGCAATAGCTCAAGACGAATCTAGAAAAGACTCACAAAACTTAGAGCATCTCCAACCCATTTATGTAAAATAGCTAGTCAAAATATTTTTAAATATTGTATTTTTTTACTTTAACTAGCAATTTTTTCAAATTCACTCTAACCACGCTCTCTGTTTTTAATTAACTACTGCAAGTAACTTTAATTAACTTTCAATAATATATTTCAAAAATGTCATGTGATCTAATATGTAAGAGCTATAATGCTGATGAGACATGATGATGTGTCACGCCACGTCATCATATTTAACCACAAATCAACAACAATTCAACAATATATTGTATAAATTTAACCACAAATTAATAATAATTTAATCACCTCTATAACCAAAAATCAATAGTAATTTAACAACATATTTAACCAAAAATCAATACATATTTAACCAAAATTTAATACCAATCAAGAACAAAAATCAATGCAGAGGGGTTTCAGCAGCAAAAATAATAGAGGAAGAGGTGGGTTTCGACAGTAAAAGAGGGGAGAGGAGGGGTAGGTTTCGGCAACAAAACAGTGGGAAGGGGGAGTTGGGTTTCGACAGCAAATCATAGAGATGGGTGGATTTTGGTAGCAAAACAGAGGGGAGGAGAAGGTTGGTTTTGGTAGCAAAATAGAGGGGAGGGTGAGTTTGGTTTTGGCAACGAATCATAGAGATAGGGGTGGGTTTCGACAGCAAAATAGAGGGGGAGGGGGGGTTTGGCAAAACATCAGCAAAGATGGAGGTATATTTGACTTTAGTTGGAGATGCTCTCAGTAGCACGAAGTGGAGAGCAAAGTTGGCCTCTCTAAATCTGGCGAGCATGAAGGCCTCCTAGGTTTTGGCGAGGAGGATAGCTTGCAGGGTTGGAGCAAATTTTTGGAGTGAATCTCGTCAAAATAGCTAAAAAGTAAAGAATGACTAGTGGGTTGAAGATGCTGTTATTTCTACTAAATTCTACCCTCGACAAGAAGAATCCATTTTTGGTATGCCACATCACCAACTTCTAGAAAGTCGCGTCATGTCTAAAAAATATAACTTTTAACAGTCAAATGNGACTAGTGGGTTGAAGATGCTGTTATTTCTACTAAATTCTACCCTCGACAAGAAGAACCCATTTTTGGTATGCCACATCACCAACTTCTAGAAAGTCACGTCATGTCTAAAAAAATATAACTTTTAACAGTCAAATATTCTCTAGAAAAATAAGTTCTTTATTCGACCAATATGAGTTTGTTCAACCTAGATTCCTTCAAATACTTTTTTCCTCCATTTTTCATCTTGAAAAATCATGTACTATTATTAAGAAAATGACCCACTTAAATACAATAGTTTCCCCTTGAATTCACGACTAATAATTTACTCAAGAAAAAATATATTAGATGAGATATCCGTTCGAGTTTGATAGTTAGCGTGTTTGCATTTTTTTGTCAGCTTCAAAGTAAGGCCAAATATATATATACTGTTACCGCGCAGCAACCAAGTGTAACCATGAGTTGCNACGACTAATAATTTACTCAAGAAAAAATATATTAGATGAGATATCCGTTCGAGTTTGTTAGTTAGCGTGTTTGCATTTTTTTGTCAGCTTCAAAGTAAGGCCAAATATATATATACTGTTACAGCGCAGCAACCAAGTGTAACCATGAGTTGTTGAGAATGAGACTTAGTTGGGGCTGTTCATCAAAAAGGCAGGCTGATGTTGAAATGATGTTTGTGTTCAACCTCTTGTAATTTATCATAGAATCTGTTGGCTTTCTGTCTAAGTTTACAAAAATATTATTTGTATTTAATTTGCGATCTAATACAAATATAACGATTTAATACAAAGATTTAATCATTTATAATTATTGAATTAAAAATAGATTTTATCCAATAATAGCGTTGTTCTTAATTTTATTGGTAGTTGCTAGTTAACGATAAGAATATGTAATGCGGTATATATGCATTTGTTAGGAGCCAANTTTAATCATTTATAATTATTGAATTAAAAATAGATTTTATCCAATAATAGCGTTGTTCTTAATTTTATTGGTAGTTGCTAGTTAACGATAAAAATATGTAATGTGGTATATATGCATTTGTTAGGAGCCAGTTTATTCAATGTAAGATCACCTATCTTGTATGGGTGGAATCCACTTATAAATAGTATATTCTATTTTAATTTATAATAAATAATTTATCATTGGGTGAAAATATAATAGAAAATATGTCAATTTAGTTGGCAGTAATAGATATTTTCAAATTTTGATGAGTTTCATGCTAGGTGGACAGGACAATGTGGGTCTGTTAACCAATGATAGTGAGTACTATGAGAAAAAACAAGGAAAATATTGTTTTGAAAATTTAATTTAATATATTTATTAAATTAAAAATGAGAACTACCTAACATTAGATTACCTATTTTTAATATGGTGCTATTTAAGGGTATCAATTTTTGAAATGACGTGTTAAGATAAATAATACATAGGTCAGGTTTTTTTTTTAACACAGGTTAGGTTAATGTCAAACACGAATAATATAAAATTGACACGATTAACACGTTTAATTAATATTATATAAATAAAATACCAGATTTTTATTAAATTTTTCTCAAGAATTGACATAATCTTTACACAAAGAAAGAATTTTTTTTACTTTTTTGTATTATTATATTTATTAAGTTAATTTTTAATTTATAAAAAAATTATAAGTGTAAGTTCGATGTGAAGATAATATAATATTAAACTTAAATCTTACTGTTAAAATTTTCATTCATAAGTTATATTGGTCAACACGAACACGCATAAAAATAAATAAATTAAATCGACACAATATAATTAATAAAATAGGTTAAATTTAGATTGATCAATACTCTACACAAATCCATATACTAACAGGTGGATACGAACCAATTGCCACCTCTATGGCCAGGAGCAGAGGCAGAAATTTTTTTTAGGATGGACATACTAACATGTTTTAATTTTTTTTTAATAGATCGTAAAAGTTTATAAATTTATATTTATTAAAATTATATTTAGTACTTTTTAAACATAGAAAATTAAAAATCAATATATTTATAAATAGAAAAATAATAATTAAAACTTCTTATTAAAAATGCGACGAATTATTATTACTTACAATTGACTCTGTTTTGTTTTTATTATTTGAAAGAGTTACAAATTAATTTTATCAACAATATATCTAAAATCGGGTAATAATATTTCATTTATGATCCTATAATTTATTACATAATGACACATTTTTATACAATAATGAAATAACCCTACAATTTAAAAAAAAATTATAAAATAACATCAATATGTTCAAAATATATTCAAAAATGTAAAAAACATGTCTACAAATTAACAATTAAATTAGTTATACCTAATTTGAGATTTAATTGATGGAGGCACAATAATTTATGACCATTAAATAGATAGTAGAGTTTATTAAATATTAAAATTCACTATTATACTTAATATCGCAACGTATTAGATTTTTAAATTAAGTTTCAATAACATTGTTCAAATAGTTAATAATCATTTAAGTAGAGATTTATTTAAATTAATATTACCAAAATATAATATTAGGGTGAATATAATTAAATATGTCTAAATTTTATTTTAAAAAATATATCCTTAATATAAAACAAAAAAAAAATATTGAGGGGCGAGGGGGGGCCGGGGAGGGGGATGTGCCAACGCTAGCCCAAGGGTGGCTCCGCCCCTGTCTATGGCCATTCTACTCCAAACCTTGGCATGCAAAATGGTTGAAAAACTTCTTCAGATAAATCAATATTTGGCCTCATTATTTTTTCCAAAAATTAAAAAAAAAATCGTAAATGATTTTTACAGAAGGTTCTGTCCAGAAGGACAGAGACGGACATCTCGAAACTCGCAATCACAACCCCTTTTTTCTTCTCCTCCATAAATTACATCTCCTCCCCCCCCCCTCTCCAGCACTGCATTCGCTTCACCTCTTCCCTCTCTCTCTCTCTCTCTCTCTGTGGCAATAAAGGCAGCGATGTTGAGATCAGTTCTCAGAAGAAGCTCTACCGCTTCAGCATCTTCCCTACTTCGACGTGGATACTCATCGGAATCCCATCCCGAAAGGAAGGTCGCCGTATTGGGTGCCGCCGGAGGGATCGGTCAGCCATTGGCCCTACTCATGAAGCTCAACCCTCTTGTCTCTAATCTCGCCCTCTACGATATTGCCGGCACACCTGGTGTCGCCACTGATGTCAGCCACGTCAACACCAGATCTGAGGTATCTCTTTCTTGAACTCTACCCTTTTTCCCTCTGACTCCATGCATAATTCGCTCTAAGGGTTTTGTTGTTTAGCTACTGTATTGTGATTTTGTTTAGTTTCTCGTTGCTAGGGTTTTTGATCTGAAATTGTTCGATTTTAACTCCATTACTCATTTAAATTTCTCTGTCATCAGTTTTGATTGATTATATTCTGATTCTTCTTCGTTTCTCATCTTCGGGGTTTTTGATCTATATTCGATTGATCTAACTAGATTACTAATCGAAGACTCTAGCTTTCTGGGGTTTTGAGCTGAATAAATTCGGTTTTGCTATAGAGTTTCAATCACATTTAGATTTTTATCGAGCTCAATTTCCTCCTCATTTACGCATCTCTTTCTCTACATGGTTCTGTTCTAACTCATTTGATTCCAAGAGAACTTTTTCTTTTTCTTTTTTCTATCTGTGTGATTTTTGTATATTTTCTTTTGATTCCTATCAATTATTTGTTAATCTCTCTCTCTCTCCACCCCCTCTCTGAATGTATATTCATTAATATTTCTATACATCTTATTTGCAAATCACAATTTGTTCACATATATTTGAGTGTGTGTGTGTGTGTTTTTTTTTTTTTGTATAGGTTGCTGGGTACATGGGCGAAGAACAGCTGGGGCAAGCTCTAGAAGGATCTGATGTTGTCATCATTCCAGCTGGTGTGCCAAGAAAGCCTGGTATGACTCGTGATGATCTCTTCAACATCAATGCCGGCATTGTTAAATCACTTTGCACTGCAATTGCCAAGTATTGCCCGAATGTAAGTGATATTTTTTTTTTCACAAACATTGTAGTTACAGTTTTGACTTAATGTTCATCTTCTGGCAATTTTAATAATGATGCAGGATGCAATTTTCTGATCATCTGGGTTCATGATTTTTATGAAAAAACAGGCACTTGTTAATATGATAAGCAACCCTGTTAACTCTACAGTCCCCATTGCTGCTGAGGTCTTCAAGAAAGCAGGGACATATGATGAAAAGAAACTGTTTGGTGTGACCACTCTTGATGTGGTTAGGGCTAAAACATTCTTTGCCGGAAAGGCAAAGGTCAGCGTTGCGGGTATGCCTCGTTACTTACATCCCTGGTTGCAGTTTCTTGTTCGTTTCTTAAGCTTAAGTTGAGTTATTCTTCTCTAACACAGTTCAATTTATTCTTTTTAATTATCTTGTATTCTTTCATCCAGATGTCAATATACCTGTTGTCGGTGGACATGCTGGCATAACCATTCTCCCATTGTTTTCACAAGTACTACATTACTTTCTTTGTTTTGAATTGTTCATCTTGTGACAAATTGTATTATGCAACATATCATTGCCTATCTTAAAGCGTGTTGATTTATGTGATGAACGTTAATAGGCCACACCAAAAGCCAATTTTTCAGACGAAGACATTCAGGCTCTCACAAAACGAACACAAGATGGTGGGACGGAGGTTGTGGAAGCAAAGGCTGGAAAGGGTTCAGCTACACTTTCAATGGCGTAAGTGTAGATTGATAACTTTTGGTTTTTATGTATTCTTGGGCACTCTGCACTGAATTTAAGCTTGGATGTCTAAATATTGCAAGAAGTTATTGATATAATTTTTGATAAATGACTTGGCTAGAATCGGATATTATTAATTAACTGTGGTATTAGTAAGAGAATAGGCATTTTACAAGAGAATTTGTATGCTCAGAAACAAAATGTCGTTAAAAAATGTCCACTTAGACCTATTTTTCATGATATAGATTGGAGTTGAAATCTTAGTGAGGATGTCTTTCTCCAGGGTTTTATGTTTGGTAGCATTGCCTGACAGGGAAAAGAATTTATTAGAGCAATGAGAAATGCTTAGCCATACAAGAACTGAAATATGGTCAGAGGGAAGATGCCATGTAAATACTTTCATGAATATGTTTCGAGTTTCTGGGCACATGGAATTAGCTTATAAGCCTTATATCACATCATGAGAAGTGGTGGGTACCTTTGTGGCTTATTTAATTGACCGGGTTTCAACGACAGAATTTGATATTCGTATCTGGGTCCTCATGAAATTTTGTTTTCTGTTGAGGTTATAGGATTCATGTAGCCAACTTCAAATTGTCGGGACAATGCTTTGTTGGGTTGATTTTAATTTTTCATGCTGTTCTGCTTTTCTTGGTGGTGTGCATGACCATACATGTTTCTTTCGTTTTCGTAGTAGATTGGTACTTTCTGCATTGTTAGGGGATACAAAGGACATTGGTGCATGACAATATATGTGCTTTGGTTTTTGTAATTGATTGGTACTTTCTGCATTGTTAGGTATGCATCTTCAAGAATAAATTCAATCCCTGATAAAGCATCTAGTAATCTACATTGTTATGGACCAAACACGTGTTATCTCATTCATTTTTCTCTCTGGAATTTCAATTACTGCCTCATGTTAGTAGAAGCTACAGGGTCAGAACATTTTTGTAAACAAATTCTAAATCATGGTTATCACAATTCACTAAACTTTTAACGACCGACAATCTAGGTACATTGATCCAAAACGTGGTGGTGGGTTCGCAATCTAGATCACCAAAATTGACGATCCCAAATTGCAATACTAACCCTAGATCAATTCGCTTCAAAACATGCAACATTGTTTAAATTACATATTAATTGACTACATGTATATAGATTTATTATTATATATTGTTTTAGATAATAGAAAATCAAGAACAATTATAAGATAAATAGTAACTAATTTAGTGTTTATGAATGTTTTGTAATATATAATGTTGTATAGCAGTGAAAACAATCTACATAAGAGTTCCAAAACGAATTGCGATCCAAAATACTGTACCAGCTAAACCTACCCTCATCGAACCATGTACTTAAGAAAGTGTCGTACCATGTACCTGCATCATGTACCAAAGCAACCCACGATCCAGGTAACATTGTTCTGAATAATCTGTGGTGTTCCTGCAGTTATGCTGGAGCCATATTTGCTGATGCTTGCTTGAAAGGACTTAATGGGGTTCCAGATGTCATAGAATGTTCATTTGTGCAGTCAAGCATCACTGAACTATCTTTCTTTGCATCTAAGGTAATGAGCATCAATTTAATTAGGAATTTTTTTCAAGGGAGAAAGTGCAAACTTTTTTATCTATGGCAATGATATCCTATTGGGCTTTGTCTATGATAATGGTAAACTGATGATAGCAATTGATTACAGTTTGCACAATAAGATGATTTCATGTATTCATCTTACTATTGTGCTGGACCTTTGGAAACTAGTCTTATTGTTTATTTTTTTCTGTAGCCTTTGGTTTGAGTGAGAAAACTATAGTACAGTTCACAATGCTAGACGTGAAACCATTGTATAATTAAATAACTTTATGTGCAAGAGTTTAATAATCGTTACTCTACATCCTGTTGGGAAATCATTCTTTTAATCACTTTGGTATGTCCTGGCTGTACTTATCATAAGGATTTGTGTGTTAATACATTGTTAACATGAATAATTTCCGTTGGTCTAATCATGGTAATCTGATTGCATGTTGGGATATGCTTCCCTAGATTTCGGCAATGACACAAGTCCCACTGGATAAAGATTATTTGATCTTAGAAGGTATTGTTGGAATTAAAGTACATGTAGGATGCAAGGTTCATATAACTCCCATCCTTGCTGTGAATGGCATGAGCATATGTTTGAAGGGGTGCTTGGTCGAATGTACTTGAGCTTTTGAAGTGCTTGATGACTTAGATTGCATGGGGTGCTTTTTATTTTCTCATCCAATCCTTCTTAAGAGGTTTCTATTTCTTCACGTGGATTTCATCATTGGAAATAAATGGAAAAACTTGGAAGATTATCATAACTTATGGAAGTAAAAGCACCAATGCATACTAGAATAGGGTATGTAAATGTTATATTTTGGTGGTTGCGTCTATTTATGAGAACAGCAAAATTGTTTCGATGGTTGGACTCTCTTGTGCCGAACACCGACTAGTAACATGGTAAGACTGGTGATAGGATTTGCTTATGAATGCTCTAAACGGTCTTTGCATCCATAACCTGCAGGTGAAGCTTGGAAAGAATGGTGTGGAGGAAGTGCTAGGATTGGGCCCACTTTCAGACTATGAAAAACAAGGATTGGAAGCTCTCATGCCCGAGCTGAAATCCTCTATTGAAAAGGGAATTGAATTTGCGAACAAGAGTTAATTGAAGGTTATATGTCTTCTGGAGTAATACTTGCCCATTATTTAGAACCCATCACAGTTTTGCACTTTTTACCAGTCTTGTATTGTTTTTTGATTGTTTTGCTGCCAAAGCCATTTGATTTAGCTATTTCCAGCAAAGTAGGTTCAAACAGAGTCTGGATACTTCTATGAATAATCCCAGCAAAGCAGAGGTTTAGCAGGTTCAAGAAACTGTCATTAATAATGTCGGCGTGATTATCCAGCAGTCACCCATTAACAATCTATTTAGAATTTGAACATGTTGATTCTTTCTCCCATGATTGACTTCCTGCACAGATGATAAACTGTTGTATGTTTCCAGAAAGAGCATGATTTATTTGTGCAGGTTGGTTTCTACCGATTATATTTATGATAATATGAAAGGTTTTCCATGTTGCTAGTGTGCCCAGGGACAAGCACTTACCGGAACCTGATTCCTTTCCTACAGTAGCCTTTTATTTTTCNAGAGCATGATTTATTTGTGCAGGTTGGTTTCTACCGATTATATTTATGATAATATGACAGGTTTTCCATGTTGCTAGTGTGCCCAGGGACAAGCACTTACCGGAACCTGATTCCTTTCCTACAGTAGCCTTTTATTTTTTCCGCTGATAAAATTATCATGCATTGGTGACCTAAATGATAGATGATCAATCATTGGTGAGAGACCTACTGATTGGTGGTTTATGGGAATTGGGTTATGCTCCACTAATAGGTTGTTTATTGGAATTGGATCGCAGGCTAGGTCACATTTGTCTGATTGCCTTAATTGTGTTTGAATGTGTTTTGGAATTGTGAGGCTAGGGATTAGTCTAATGACTACCGCTCCGTTGGTGGATCTTAAAGTTGTAAGTTTAATTATTGCCGTTCCCTTCTCCGTAGTGTAATAGTGCCTGACAAAAAAAATGAAGTGTTCTGGAATTTGACTNGGCTAGGGATTAGTCTAATGACTACCGCTCCGTTGGTGGATCTTAAAGTTGTAAGTTTAATTATTGCCGTTCCCTTCTACGTAGTGTAATAGTGCCTGACAAAAAAAATGAAGTGTTCTGGAATTTGACCGACCCAACAGTGTGCGTTAGGTGTATGCAGTTTCACAAATATTTAGGATTGTCATCAAATTGGCATTATCTCCCAATAATGCCCTTTTATTGGCGTGTGAAGACATGACGGCCTAGATAAAACTTGAAATTGATCACCCCAGGGAAATGTCCTCAAAGCTCATTCCCTTGTTGCGGTAAAGAATAAAGTCAGCAGAGTCACAAACCAAACTTAGAAGCAAGAACGAACAATCCACTGTTACTGTTCCCCTTTGACATCTGATTAACATCATACAAGATGCAACTATATTTGCATTTCACGCATTATTCAAAAACTACCATCTCAACATCGGTGCCATTTTCCTAACAGAATGATAACCATATTGCACTGATATGAATAAAACATCGGACAATTTTCCCATATCTGAAAATCGATAGCATTTTTTGATAATTTACATTTGCAACACAGGTCTCCCAGCAACCACCATGACCAATAGACACCACACACATTCTTGGCAAGAAAAGGAAGCACCGTAAAACAGAGACCAACAAGTCGAGTGATTGTAAGAATGAGAGTTTCAAGTCATACACGTTTCAACACTTCTGCAGCCAGACAATAACGCACTGCCAATAATACCCATTCACACCCACCACAGGCAGAGGCAGAAGCAGAATCAGAATCCTCAACAATTGTCAAATAGATGTCAGTGTGGATCAATGCTCATAGGTTGACTACCTATGCATCCCGACTAAGGTCTCCATAACAGGCACACGACCTTTACGCACCNATCAAATTGGCATTATCTCCCAATAATGCCCTTTTATTGGCGTGTGAAGACATGACGGCCTAGATAAAACTTGAAATTGATCGCCCCAGGGAAATGTCCTCAAAGCTCATTCCCTTGTTGCGGTAAAGAATAAAGTCAGCAGAGTCACAAACCAAACTTAGAAGCAAGAACGAACAATCCACTGTTACTGTTCCCCTTTGACATCTGATTAACATCATACAAGATGCAACTATATTTGCATTTCACGCATTATTCAAAAACTACCATCTCAACATCGGTGCCATTTTCCTAACAGTGATAACCATATTGCAATGATATGAATAAAACATCGGACAATTTTCCCATATCTGAAAATCGATAGCATTTTTTGATAATTTACATTTNTCAATCTTTGTATTATTAGTTCTCTAGGGAAATGATAACATGTAAAAAGTCTGTCACTGGGCATTCTAAGACAGAGCAGAGACCTCACATAATTCCAAGGAATTATAGTCTTTCAGATACTTCTCCTTAGCACCAAAAATACATTAAAAACACATAAAAAATTATTACTCACAAGGGCTCAAATTAATGTTGAGGTGCTCGTCAATACCGGGATAAGGAGTCTGAAAGTTGNTTGCAACACAGGTCTCCCAGCAACCACCATGACCAATAGACACCACACACATTCTTGGCAAGAAAAGGAAGCACCGTAAAACAGAGACCAACAAGTCGAGTGATTGTAAGAATGAGAGTTTCAAGTCATACACGTTTCAACACTTCTGCAGCCAGACAATAACGCACTGCCAATAATACCCATTCACACCCACCACAGGCAGAGGCAGAAGCAGAATCAGAATCNTTGCAACACAGGTCTCCCAGCAACCACCATGACCAATAGACACCACACACATTCTTGTCAAGAAAAGGAAGCACCGTAAAACAGAGACCAACAAGTCGAGTGATTGTAAGAATGAGAGTTTCAAGTCATACACCTTTCAACACTTCTGCAGCCAGACAATAACGCACTGCGAATAATACCCATTCACACCCACCACAGGCAGAGGCAGAAGCAGAATCAGAATTCTCAACAATTGTCAAATAGATGTCAGTGTGGATCAATGCTCATAGGTTGACTACCTATGCATCCCGACTAAGGTCTCCATAACAGGCACAGCCATCCAACCAAGAGATATGCTGCATCATTGGAAAACTTATCAACTTAACTTCACCATATCTTATGAAAGCACAGAATGAAAAACTAGAAAAAGAAACAGCCAATATAAGTCACTTCTCTAAAACTAGGAAGAAACTACATCTAAAACACGTGTGCACCCCCATGGTAGGTCAAAATGGAAAATAACCGCTGAAAACATATTCCAGTTGAAGTAATTGCGAAGTCCTTCAAGATTAAAATTCAAGTAATGGTTGTCCATGTCTAAAGGTCATTTGGTCCTACAAGATTTACATGTCAATAATGAAAGAATTCTCTCTAATGAGCTGTTTCTTTGGTTCAAATTTTCTTCCATCTCGCTTTTATTTTACTAATTATGGGCACCTCCTACTGCAACCATCTCAACATTTTCTACTCTTTTAGTTACCTACACCTTATATTCAATCTGCCAATTCCAAACAGACAAATACATGCAAGTTTCCTTGAATAAATTCTACGGAATGATTTCATAATCTACTCTCCCACATGTATTCCATTTTACTGGAAAATGATTTAAGTGACAGCACAGACTAACAATCGAATTACTTCAGACAACCAAGGAGAGCTCTCTCTATCATAAGATTTCTTAGCATTCTGCTGGTATCATATGATGAAGACATGCTCTGTGCATATTTTGGGCTGATGATGAATCAAAACCCAAATAGCTGGGACAAGTCATTCTGCCAAGATCGTTGCATAATCTCTTATTCTGCAATTGTTAGGCAGCTCAATTTATGGCAGAGTAGTCATCAACTCATCATCAACATCCACCCATTCAATCTTTGTATTATTAGTTCTCTAGGGAAATGATAACATGTAAAAAGTCTGTCACTGGGCATTCTAAGACAGAGCAGAGACCTCACATAATTCCAAGGAATTATAGTCTTTCAGATACTTCTCCTTAGCACCAAAAATACATTAAAAACACATAAATAATTATTACTCACAAGGGCTCAAATTAATGTTGAGGTGCTCGTCAATACAGGGATAAGGAGTCTGAAAGTTAACTAGAAACAAGCAAATATTTGTCCAACAGGGGTTCCTACTTACGGGCTTATGTGGTTCCCTAAAGCAATATGGGCAAGTAAAACCCCATATTTCGAACTGCCAAGGACAACAACAGTTCCGCAAAAAATGAAACCTAAATATTACGAACAAGGATGCTTACTCACTCAACATGCATCCAATTTCTAGGATAACATACTGCGGGATCAACCCCAGTAGACAATTTTGCCCACTAGGAGTTGGCCAAAAGCAGGAAACCCCATGTGAAAACTGAATTAGATTCATCAGGAGTGTTCCTGCAGAGACTGCGACATTCTCCACGAATCATTCAAATAATGTACCAATATTCCATGTAAAATTGTGATAAACAAGCTAATGATCTACTAATATTTTTGTAAGCATAGGGTGAATGTCCACCTATGAGGCTATATTTTTGTAAGCCCATATGCACCTTGAAAGACCCGGGCCATTCAAATCAACATAGAATGTGCACCTATGAGGCTATGAATGGGGTGAATGTTAACCATAGGGAGTGAGAATCTTCTAATATGAGTGCGAGTGGTAAAGTCATTAAACTAAGCCCTTTTGATCAACATGGCTGCAAGTGGAATGGGTTAATGTCTTTAAACTGACTAAAACCAAAGTCAGGGCTACTTCAACCAAAGAAAGGGTGACCCAATTCAAAACAGCAGGCGAGATTAAGCGATAAACAGCAGAATTGTAAATTTCTGCCACTATACCAGTGGGAATTCATCACACAACCCTTCAAACTCAAAAATGATTCATGCAGAATTGAAAGATAACCCCAGAGAGATTTTGCAGCTGCAACTATTAAAACTTGTACACAAAACTAAAATATTCCAGATTTTATTAGACTACATTATACAAAAAAAAAAACAAAGAAACGAATTATATTCATTAGCCAAACCACTGCTTCCTACCTTTGGTCAAATCCATTCAAGCCTTCGGTGAATGCCCTGCATCTGATTCATGTGCAGAGGAACTATCACTGTCGGATTCTGAAATTAACATTAGCAAAGTGAATTAGGGAATGCTCACCCTGACAAGATAAATTATGATCAAATCTGAGATACTAATATTTTTATCATTATATACAGAATTTAAATTAACATTTACCACTTGAAGAGGATCCAGAATCACTACTAGAACTGCTTGAACTACTAGACCTACTTGCATTATCCCCTTGCTTTTCTCCTTGAACAGGAGAAGAAGAAGCAACATTCGTCTCATCTGTTTAAAATAGAAATATTTGATTACATCAGTGCACAATACTCAGATTTCCATTCATTGCCCATATGAAACCAAGCAGAAAAGCTATAAACTCATTTCAAACTCACCTATTTTACTTTTTTTCTGTGCCTCCACAACAGCTGGGGCTGGGTTCTGCAGTGATGAAATAACAATCATGCATCCTCCATGCAAAATGAAGTGCAAAATAAAAACATTCTACAATTTGAAGTCTTACCATTGCTGGAATAGCACTAACTTCAGTTCTTGCTTGAAGAGCAAGTTCAGCCTTTCTCTTGTACTTGCTCAAGCTCTTCTTGTAATTGGTCACAAACCTATCAAGTTCCCACAGTGTTTCTGCATCAACACTGTCTATGTCCACCTCTATCTCATCATCATGCTGACAAAGCGCCGTATTCCTCCTCTTAATGATCTGAACAATCGCATCAAGTTTTTCTGAAGGTAAGCTCTGAAGGTTTGTGCTAAGCCTCTGCTTCTCCTCAAATGTCATGTCCCTTTTATTCAGATCCTTTGCCTTAGGTTTCTTCGGAACCGGTGTCCTTCCAACGGGCAAAGAATATGAGGATTTTATCATGGAATCAACAGGGGTTGTCACGGATTCCGATCTATCTAAAGTCCTCATTTGGGGCACAGGTGTAAGAGGGGGAGGCACAGGGGGAGCCTTTCTTGTAAAGGGAGTTGGCAACCCAGCATCATGATACATTTGATACCACCAGTCAGGATTATACTCGGTCTCTATCACAACCCACCTCTCTTCAAAAATCTTCAACAACTCATCTGCCATAATGTGAACATCTTGTCCTTTCGGATTATAGGTCATAGCATTATGGAAAGTAAGTCTTACATCCTCTGCAAATTCCCTCGGAGACTTGTACCAGTTCTGCGCTAGCCTAGTCTTAATTGTACCCAAATCCATCGGGTGCTTAATAATATCATGATAATCATGCAGCCCCAAATCGTGTGCATTCACTGGCTCATTAAACACCCAGCCATGCTTGTGCTTCATCAACCTTTGAAGCAAATTGTTACATGCCCTAAGCATTTGATTTCTATTCTTATCAATACCAAATCCATAAGACATGCCTCCTCCATGCTTCTTCCCACCATTGGATTTCAACTTCTTGTTAGTCTCTGGAGGTAACCTGTCCTTCCCAAGAAGGAAATCAGAATTCTGGTAATATTGATTAGCCTTCGGAGTCCTCTTCTCTTTCTCAACAAATTCACCAACAACCCCATGATTGTGATTGTTCTCCATCACCAAAACACTTAACTGCCTAGAGGGCCTGGAATCATGAGGTCCCAGCGAACCCACCTTCGAATTCAATCTCACTAACTCTGTCCTCTCTCTCAAACCATTCCCAGGCCTGGAATCATGATGTCCCAGAGAACTCAAGTCCGAATTCAACCTCACTAACTCTGTACTCTCTCTCATACCATTCCCAGAATACTGGGAATGACTATCACCAGCACCACCACCTCCAGCAGTAGTAGTATTATACTCAATAAGCTGAACCTCCTTAGCTTCAAGCTTCTTGATTAAACTCCTAACCTCACCAAGCTCGNCCAGAATACTGGGAATGACTATCACCAGCACCACCACCTCCAGCAGTAGTAGTATTACACTCAATAAGCTGAACCTCCTTAGCTTCAAGCTTCTTGATTAAACTCCTAACCTCACCAAGCTCGCAAAATAAATTCTTCCTAAGCTCTCTACTTCCATTTTTTGACCTCACTGCCGCCCCCAAATTAATCCTAACCCTATCATCAACTCTTGTAATCAACGACTTCACCGCCCCATTAGCTGCCCCGTTTCCAGTACACGGTTCACGCCCATTGGGCACCACTGCTCCAAGCGGGAGATTGTGACTCGAGGAATCATCAGACACCATATCAAACCGAGGCTGCTGTTGCTGCGCCGAATTCGCATCTTCGGTAGCTAGGGTTTGCGAAGACTGTTGCAAAACGTTGTCGTTCTGGTTCTTGGTGTTGTTATTGTCGTTGTTGCTATTTTCGGCGGTAGCGGTGGCGGCGTTGTTGTTCTCGGTGGTTGTTGTAGAGGTGATATTTGTGGCGGTGGTGTTGGTCTTGAGGGCTTTCTGGTGGTGAATCTTCCGGGTATAGACTTTTTGACTCTCACCCCATCTATGCTTTTCTCTCGAATTCGACTCGTTAGCGCCTAAGGTCCCCGAATCCATACATGAAACAAAGCCCAGCCACCCAAAATTTTCCAATCTTCCTCAAAAACCCTAGAAGTCCCCTCGATCAATTCGTTCCAACCCTAGCGTTTCAACATCACCGATCCAATAAATCTAATCCCTAAACTTTAAAGGTTAAAGAGGTTTAATCTGTACCGAACTAGGGTTTTGGACAGTGAAAGAGAAACGATCTGCTGCTAAACATGAGAAAATAAATTAAAAAAGAAAATTAGGAAATTAGGGTTTCGAGTTTGGGAAAAGAACAAACCCGAAAGAGCGACACTCCGATTGGAGAACGTCGGTGGTCGATCCGAACTCTCCTCTCTCTCTCTCTCTCTCCCTCTCCCCTTCGTCGGAGTTTTGCGCTGCAGATTCTAATCACACGCGCTATTGTTGACAAAGATCTAAGGGCGGTTGGTTGCCACATCGGATTCGAATGACGTCACTAATATACGTGGCTGCTTTTNCCTCTCTCTCTCTCTCTCTCTCTCTCTCTCTCTCTCCCTCTCCCCTTCGTCGGAGTTTTGCGCTGCAGATTCTAATCACACGCGCTGTTGTTGACAAAGATCTAAGGGCGGTTGGTTCCCACATCGGATTCGAATGACGTCACTAATATACGTGGCTGCTTTTCAAGCGACACACGTGCGCGTGATCATCACGCTAAGTGGAGCATGAGAAAGTCAAAAAAGAAAATGGCCTTTCTTTACATCAGAGCAAATTTTTTAAACACCCTTTTTTCACTTCTATCCCGCTGTAGAAATTGTGCCTCTCGTTTGACAAAAAATCAATGGGCAATTATTCGGGTTTAATTCGAATTCGACACATATTAGATTAAATAAGTTGAATTTTAATAATTTTTTAAATTTAAATTGAGTTTGACTCATTTAAAGTTTGACTCATTTTTTAAACAAGTTCAATTCGAATTCACAAAATTTAGCTCGATTATCAATTCTATTTACGGAGCAAAGTGACAAAATCAAACCCAGCTCAATTTATCTTTGATAAAGTCTTATTTCTGAAGCTACAATATAATGTTAGGTAACGTATGTTCAAAATTTATATATTTTATTTTATATTTTCCCNTGACAAAAAATCAATGGGCAATTATTCGGGTTTAATTCGAATTCGACACATATTAGACTAAATAAGTTGAATTTTAATAATTTTTTAAATTTAACTTGAGTTTGACTCATTTAGAGTTTGACTCATTTTTTAAACAAGTTCAATTTGAATTCACAAAATTTAGCTCGATTATCAATTCTATTTACGGAGCAAAGTGACAAAATCAAACCCAGCTCAATTTACCTTTGATAAAGTCTTATTTCTGAAGCTACAATATAATTTTAGGTAACGTATGTTCAAAATTGATATATTTTATTTTATATTTTCCCAAAAAAAATTTAGTTAACTTCAATTACACTATCGTTTTTGTTCATTAATAAAAATTAGTTAACTTTATTATATGATTATTAAAGTTGAGAGCATTTTTATTCCATTGCTATATATCCTACTTTTGTAAATCTTGCGGGCACTCTCTTCCTTTCAAACTTTCCTCATTCATGTTTGGGTGTGGAATAACTAGAGGATTGAATTAAATTTAGTCATCGATCCACTTATCCTCACTTGGAAGTGAAATTGATGTAATTGAAATGAATATTTTTCTTTGCTAAGATCGATTTTTATTGCTAAATAAAAATAAGATTCAGTACAAAACCAGAGAGGGGCGTATCCTATTGAACGATGTAAGTCAAATAATGGAGACAAATATAAAAATTAGAATCTAGAGCACCATATGTATTCACTATTTCTAAGATGAATTTGTCGCCCTTCTAATAAATATTGTGAGTGCAAAAAAGACTAGAAGACAAAATTGTCTCCATAATATAGTGGACACAATTTCACCTCTTACTATTTGAAGGATTTGCACAAATTAAGAATGGTTCGAACTTTCAGAATGAAAGAAAAATAATACCACAAAAAAGAAAAAGAGTTTTGGGAGGTGGAAGAATATAATACTTTTGGTATATCTGAAGCAGTAATGCTACACTGATCAAATTTTGGAACCAAATCAAGAGCCTAAATGACATGATACTTGACTTGAACTTCTTTATATGGTGTCATGTTATTTGGGTCCCAATAAAGACTTCAAATAATCAGGTGTCATTTCATTTAAACTCTTGATTTGGTCTTAAAATTTGGTCAATATAATATTACTATGTATGAAATGAGATTAATACACTCTTATTTATAGAGAATGAGGGGGTACAAGGACACCCTTATATTAAGAGTAGGACTCTCAATAGATCGGATTCTAATTCGAATCTGATTAACTGGTTATAGGTTAACATTTTTTATTGATTATCTGAATATGATTCAATCCAAATTATTTATATATTTATATATAAATATTAAAGAAAACAAGTGATTATTTAAAAAAATTTAGTTAAAATTTAAGTATAATTTGTTAAAATTTAGTTAATTAAGTTATTCAAATATTTGGATGGAATTTTGAATTGTTGACAGATTTAGACAAGGATCACAAAAATGAAATTCGCCGAATTTTTGGATTTGAATTCGGATATGGATCACAAAAATAAAATTCACTTAATTATCGAATTTGAATTTGAATTCGGATCGAACTTTGAAATTGGATTCGAATTCAAATAAATCAAAATTCGATCTAAAACCCGATCTGTTGAACAGGTCTAACTAATGGACATTATTTCATGAAAATATATATTTTCATTAAAAGATATATTTTTCTAAAGACACACTTTCATATTAAGACACACATATCTATATACTACTATAAAATGTTAACAAAAGTAAAAAACTTTTGATTGATCCTTATGTCCCTATTAAAGACACTTATATAATTGATTATCCAATATTAATAAAATATCTAAAAAAACCCTTTATATACTTTCTTTTCCACAAGAAATATAACTTATTCAACCTTTACACCTTATTAAAATCAACCTACAATCAATATATCCAAATATGATATTGTATCTGAATTATCCTATACCTTTGGGATTCTTGTTTCTTTCATATATATATATTCATTAGTTTATAGGTGATTTACTACTCATCAAGCTACTTGAATTACTTGCTTAAATGCAAGGGTCATAAATTGACACACCCTAAATATAAGAGTCTCATATTTACTTTTAACCGTTATAGACCTTTTAGAGTTTCGTGATTACTTCTCAAGACCACTTTTCAGCTTCTCCCCTTATTACTTCAATTAAAGGATCCCATTTATATGCATCAAAGTTATATATGTATAATGCATATGATAAGAGCAAGCAACCTAAACACTTTATCACTTAATTTTTTGCTTCGTTGTAGTTTGTAGATATTCTTTATTTGTTTGGCCTTAACATTTGTGTTTCACAATGTAAATTGGCAGTATGTTGTTGTTGCAAGGTATAATAAACAATTTTTTCTTGTCCCATAGTCTAACTATAGTTCTTGGGTTCATTTTAAAGGGTTATANTGGCCTTAACATTTGTGTTTCACAATGTAAATTGGCAGTATGTTGTTGTTGCAAGGTATAATAAACAATTTGTTCTTGTCCCATAGTCTAACTATAGTTCTTGGGTTCATTTTAAAGGGTTATCTGAGTGGAAAAACGTCATTTTATGGGTCTTCACTAAGACAACCAAGTTATTTCTTAATTTTTCTTGTTCTTTGTGGTGGAAACTGTTAATATGAGTGAATGTGCTTGAAATTTGATCTTCATTATTTTCGTGGAAATGGGTGTGCTCCAAAATTGATAAAGCTTAAAATTTGGGTTTTGGGTGATGTTTATTATTTGTATTGAGAGAAGAGGGGGTAATTATAAATACGATTCTTCTCGATAAGTTTATATATGTCAAACCTAAAATTCAAAAATATCTTCATGATTGGTCATAGATTCATAAAGCCTTTGTTCTTGAAATCATTTAGNAAAGCTTAAAATTTGGGTTTTGGGTGATGTTTATTATTTGTATTGAGAGAAGAGGGGTAATTATAAATACGATTCTTCTCGATAAGTTTACATATGTCAAACCTAAAATTCAAAAATATCTTCATGATTGGTCATAGATTCATAAAGCCTTTGTTCTTGAAATCATTTAAATTTTTTTTATTACTGTGGATTTTTAGTAAACCCTATAATCCTTCTAATAGAATAGGTGTCTTAGTGTTTTCATTTGACGGTCCTTGTTTTTAAATTGGCTTAAGTGTGACCCATGAAATGGAGTTATACATTTCATAGATAATGTTGTGAACTTTTCAAGTCTTTTCATAGGTTGTTATCATTGTTAATTTAGAGGCAAAAAAATAATTGTTGGCACTTAAACAAGAACTTAGTTTAATTTGATACGGCGTGATCTTTTCAAATTATTTATTTACTTGTAGTCATTGTATTTAAAAAGTACGTTCAAATGATTTGTTCTTTTAGTAGTGAGTTATAATTTTTTATTTTTAATAAGATTTTATTGTTGCTAAAAAAATAAATTTTAAAAATATTCATATAATATGTTCGTTGAGCCTCATTTCAACTCATGGATCCTATATCGCAAAGAAGAGGAAGACATTATTTTTCAGACTTTACATATGATGTTTTGAAAATCCTAATTCTCGATAGACTTGTGCTTATAATTTTCGCCAAGGTAATGTTCCCTTAGTGCTAAATATTCACAACTCAAATTGCATTAAAATTTTTTGCCTGGAAGATTGATATCTACATAATGACCAGATGAGTGACCTAAAAGTTTAATCATGTTGTTCTAGCTTAGATGTTGAATTCAACAATATTAGTAAAATTTGAATAAAGTGAAATACCTAAGCAAGAATTTAACATCTAAATAGCCTTGCTTACGTTGAACAAACCTCAAAAAGAAAAAGAAATAAGATATAGCAGTCGGTGCTACAAGATCTCCAAGTGAAATTCAACAACCATGCCCCACGCATGAAACTTGTCCACAAAAGTTTTCTGGAACACAAATTTACAAATGCTAAGAGACTACTTGTTTTATTAACAATAGCCTACGTGCAAGGTGGTTAGGAGCTCAATTTTTTTTTTTTTAAGAAAACGTTTGTAGTGGAAACAAGTTATTCTTCCTAGGTTCGATCTTCATAGATCAATTAACACCTATTCTTTTCTCTTGTAGGAGTAATATACACAAATCATTATATATATCATAAAGAAGGTCTTGTCAATACTCGAATTACAGAATCACCACTCAACAATGGAAAAAAAGAGTGAATGCAATCTTAATAAACAAACAACAAGAGAACCAAAGCATACTCCTATTTCGTTTTTGACAATATGGATGTGATACTTGCA